CCTGCCTCCTTGTCCCATCTGCTGAGAGGCTCCCTGGTCAGGCCTGGGTCTCTGTGTGTATTTTCAGCACCTCCCACCACAGACAGACAGACAGACAGACAGACACACACACACACACACACACACACACACACACAGAGCAGTCTGAAAGCACTGTGCATTGATACAGGTTAAAATACAAGATAAAGGAGGGCTTGGTGATGTTGGCAGCCACCCTTTCCCAAGACCCCCACTCGCACAAAGTACCCTGCTCTAAAATTCAGGGCTTAGAGAATTGGAGGTGGGCTGAGGAGTGGAGGAGCAGGCCTGATGCCACTGGGGAAGGGACAATTAAATTCTGTCTTCCTGACCCACAGATGTGGGAACCCTTGGCCCAAGAGGTCGGCTGCTGGCTCACCCTGGCCCTGGCCCAGAGCGGCTCAGGGGTGGAGGCTTTAGGAAAAATTGATGTCTTCGGCCACCTGCCAGCAGCCAACTTGGCTTTGATTCTTGGGCTCCTGAACGTTGTCTGTCTGGGCCCCACCCAAGAGGTTCTCACTGGGGCAGCTGGGGTGTGGCTGACACCACATTTCTCACAAGTGCCGGTGATGATAATGCCAAGGGCCACTGTCTGAGAACCCGAGTTTCCGTCCGCCAGCTTCAGCCCTTACCAGCCGACTTCCGCACGGGCCCACCCTCCCCACGACCACTCACCTGAAGAGTGAGCCTACCGCACATCTTGTCTTTTAGGGCTGCTGTGACAGAAATACTGCAGGGGAGTCCAGGAGGTGGCTTTAACAGACAGAACCTCACTCTCTCACCATTTAGGAAGCTAGAAGTCTGAAGTCAGGGGCCCAGCTCCAGGAGAAGGCCCTCTCTCACTGGCTGGGGAAGGTCCTTGTCCCTTTCGGTGGTTGTTGGCCCAGCGTTCCTTGGAAATGTCTGTGTGTCCTGGCATCAGCCCTTCCTGGATCGGGGAGGCTGACTGTGCGGGGACCCTGGTCCCCGAGGGTGTGCTCCACGCCTGGCTCTCCTCAGTGACCCGGATGTCCCCACAATGCTCTCTTATCTTATCTCATGTAAGAGAAAAGGGAACACAGACACCACCAGGGAGACGCCTCTTACCTCGGATCGGGGCTGCAATGGGGATATTGGGGTTGCATCACCCTGGTCCCCTGACACATGACCGACTGACTGTGATGGGACCATTGCTTTAAAGGCTGTATCACATCACTGTGTCCACATCACAGGACCGAGCTGAGTAAACTGTCCACGGCACAGTCTCATGATTAGAGGTTCCATATACACCTCAGTGAGGCCAGCGCCGGGCAGAGGAAGGGAAGCAGGGTCCAGGGCCCCATATCTAGGCACACAGGTCCTTAGGAAGCGCTGAGGTTGTGGGGGTCTCCCTGCCCCTTTGGCTCCTGGGCTTGCGTGAAGCTGAGGGTGAGCGTGGCCTGAATCCGTGGGGCCAGTAAGTGGCCCCTCCACTCAGCACTGAGGGTCAGATCTGGCGTTTGGAGTATCTTGACACAGTTCTGTGTGACTTTGACATCAACACTGTTGGTTTTCTATCTTATAGAAGCTTCTCTCCGTGCCAGATACGTGAATAGGAGAGGAGCCGAGGCTGAGGCCCAGGGCGCTGGGATGCGGCTAAAGCAGAGGCAGCGGGCAGAGGCAGTGCCACATGAGCTCAGCCACGGTGGGAGCTCGGCGCTCTCCCCTGCAGAGCCCCCCACAGCAGCCCACAGGCGCGTTTGAGCAAGACCGTCCACACCCGCAGCTACACGAAGCATCCAGTCCCTGCCGGCCCTCATGGCTGTTTAGGAACCGCCATCCGCTCAGCCTGACACACGTGACCTCAGGCCTGACGGGCCTTAACGCCCCTCAGTTCCGTCTGCCCCTTGATTGGTCTCATGTCAGGCTCATCCGAGTCAAGAGCTCCCGTGTGCTAGTTTCCAGGGGATTGCCAGGCCTTTCTTCGTCGTCCCTCTAGGGCTAGGAGCTCCTCTGACCCCCAGTCCATATCCTCAAAGCACACAAGCCCCCACCAACAGATGAGTGGTGACTGATCCAGAGGGGCTCCAGCCAGGAATTGAACCTGGGTCTCCCACGTTTTCCCACTGAGGCCCCCGTCCCTGGTGGCACTTTGCCCAGCTGGACTGGGAGCCTCTGTTCCAGGGAGTGGATTAGATCCGCCGTCCCTCATGACATCACCCTGGTCATTGTGGAGGCTCAGCGCCTGGCCATGCGGACGCCCGCGCTGAGACTGCTTGGATCGTGTAGTTGCGGGTGTGGACGGGCTTGCTCACACGCGCCTGTGGGGGGCTCTGCAGGGGAGAGCTCCCACTGTGGCTCTGGCAGGCTGAGCTCACCTAGTGCTGCCTGTGGCCCCTGGCTCTGCTGGAGCCCATCGTGAGATGCCAGCACGCCTGTCACCGCTGCTGCGTTACCAGGACTTGGTTTTCCTGTATGAGTCCTAAGCGATGAGGGTGCTTTGTAAGGGACAGGGGTGGCTTTGCACATGCGCCTTCTCCAAATCCTGACCCTGACTCCCTTGTTCACATCTCCCTGCCTCTGTGGGGGGCTGCGTAGGGCCCCCACGAGGGTTTATTCTTTAACCTGGCTCATCCATGCTGCCCCTGTGTGACCCCAGCTCATGTCCCTCAAAGCACGGATGCTGTGCCTAATCTTTGGATGCTCTTACCCTCTGCAGGGCTCTGGTGGCCTAGTGGTAAGGAGTTATGCTGCCGACCCAAAGGCACACAGTTCAAATCCACCAGCTGCTCTGTGGAGAAGGATGGGCAGTCTCCTCCCATGTGATTTAGAGTCTGTGAAAACCCTCTGGATGGTCAGTTCCTGCTGGACGGTACACAGCAGCCACCACCCTCCGGGGAGGCAGACATGGTGGGCCAAACAGAGGATCAGAGGGGAGGGCGGCCAACATGAACACTGGCTCCAGGTTTGAGGGACAGCTCCAGTCTGAGGGGTGGGCCCCAGTGGGGGGACACCAGCTGGTGAGTACTGCCTGATCCAGCAGATGGGTCTGGTTGTCCCCCAGGGTGACAGCCTTACATTTGCAGGGACCATGAAAAGCATGACTGTGGGGCTGTGTGTCAGGCTAGGTGGGGCCGGCATTGGAGGTGTCCTTTATGAGGGGCACAGGCCCTGGTGGGGAAGGGGACTGAGCATTGGCTTCAAACAGGAACTCTGGCAGTTCAGAACCACCAGGGACCTGGCTGTCTGCTCCCATGAAGGTCATAGCCGCCCCGTGGCCCAGCTCAGCTCTGCCCAGCGCAGCGCCTGAGGTGGGTCTGGTGGTACTTTCTAGACCATGCCGAGTGGCTGTGGGCCTAGTGTTTGAAGGGCCATGTGTGTTTGCACCTGAGGAAGGACTCTGGCATCTAGAAGGGACAGTGCTGCTCCTGAGGGCACTGGCTTCCCAGCACTGCAGGCTGTGGGCAGCAGGGCGTGGTGGGCAAGGGCCAACAGTGCTGGACACAGGGTCAGAGTCTGTGTCCCCTGGGCCGTGACCTCTCCAGGCCCCACTCCCTTCCAGGAAAGGGCAGGGCTGGACTAGTGACCCTGAGCCATGTCCACCTCTGACGCTGCTCTCTGCATCCCCGGAGCCTCTGACCAGCAGGTGATCTATGCCCCAGGCACGGTGCCAGGCTGCACCCAGGAGCTGTGTGACACTGGGCGAGCGACTCACCCTCTCTGTGTGGATGGCATGTTCCCGTGTGTGTCATACTGTTGTCCTTGTCATCCGTTGGCCCTGACTGAACGTGAGGTGTCCGCCCTGCACTGTCTTGGTGACCATTCATGTTCTTGAGTCTTTCGTCCAGTGATTGTGGTCACCCCCAAGGAGGTTCCCCCTCATTTCTGCTGACCCTCCACTTCCCCAAACACGTGTCCTTTCCTAGCAATTGGTGTGACCGGATGAGGGGCCCCACGTGAGCCCAGGTCTCAGCACCCGCCCTTCTAGAGAGCGCCTGCTGGGTTTCCTCCAGCACCGATCTGCTGCGGGTGGGAATACTGGCATTAAAGCAAAGAAACACAGACTTCTGTCATGGAGTCACCTCTGACCCCTGCAGGGACAGCGTACAACTGTCCTGTAGGATTTCCAGGGCTGTAGTCCGCACAACAGCAGGCTGCCACATCTCCTGCAGAGTGGCTGGTGGGTTCAAACTGCCAGTCTTTGGGTTTGCAGCCGAGTGCTCTAACCACTGTGTCATCAGGACCCACCAAGGCCTGGTTGACCTGTTGCCATGGAGTTAACGCTGATTCACAGCAGCAGGATGGAAACCCCGCCTCATAGGGTTTCCAAGGCGGTGAGGCTCACAGAAGCAGGCTGCCACATCCTCCTTGGAGAAATTGTATCCACAGTTATTACAGTAGCTCTTGCTACAAGGGGAAGCCCCTCAAGTAGGTGGATTGACACAGTGAAGCAGTGGGTTTGAGCGTTGAGGAGATGGCAAGGGCCACACAGAACAGACGAGGTTCCAGCCTCAGGTTCACAGGGTCGCTGTGATTCCTAGTTGTCGAGACAGCACCTGCAATAACAAGCTCTGGTGGCCCGACGGTAAGGAGCTGCGCTGCCCACTCAAAGGCGGTTCGAATCTGCCAGCTACCCCACAGGAGAAGGAGGGACCGTCTCCTCCCATGTGATTTTCAGCCTCCTAAAACCTGCAGGAGGCCCACCTCGGAGTTGATTCCACTCAGCAGCATATAGCAACATACAACTCTACAGGGAACTCTGGTGACAGATTGGGCTGAAAGGCGGGCTGTTCAAATCCACCAACTGCTCCTTTGGAGACATACGGGCAGCGTGCTCTCCAAGGATTCCCAGACCCGGCGACCGAGGGATGGTGGCCACGAGTCGGAATCTGCCTAGGTTGGAGGTTGGCTTGGTGGTGGCTGCTGTCACCGTGGTGCCCTGTGGAAACTCTGCCAGCCTGTGACTGCACACCTGTGTGGGCGCACTCACCATGTCTCCTCCGTGTCCCCTCTGTCTCCTACAGGCTGAGGCCAGGCTTGCTGCGAAGCGTGCTGCCCGCGCAGAGGCCCGGGAGATCCGCATGAAGGAGCTGGAGCGGCAGCAGAAGGAGGTAGGTGACCCGCCCTCGGCGTGGGCTTTCCCTGAGGGCCATGTGCACCCCACATGGTGGAGATGGCGAGGACAGGCACACGTGGCCCCGGCTGGAATCTGGGATGAGTGCACCGGCACCTGGGATTCCAAGGTCAGCCCTGGGAGCTGCCTGCATCCCACCCCAGGTGCTGGGCCTGCAACAGCCCGCTGACCTCCCGCGTCCCTCCTGTCCCTGCTGGGCACTCCCAGGAGGCGTGGCTGCGTGGCCGGAGCCCTCCCTTCTTGTTTTAAGGAAAGAGCAGGCTCTCAGACAAGGCCGCTTTGTGTGGACGCACACCTTTGAGCTTGGGAAGCTTTGATGAGGCGTCCTGGCACCTGAAGCGACGTGTGGCCCTCTCACAGGAGGGAGTAGCAGGTGGTGGCAAGGTGTCTGGAGTCAGATGTGAACAGGAGCTAGAGGTCAGGTGTGCCAGCTGCAGGGAAACCCGGCCGTGACCTTGAGACAGTTATCGGACAGATCCGTCTTGGCCAAGGCTCTCCCGTGGGCCAGGTCACATTCTGCTCAGCTCTGCAGCTCCTGGGCGGGTGAGGTTGGCAGCTACCTTTCCGCGGATTCTCCGTGACCCGTTGCCTTGTCAGGTGTTGTTAAGTCGGCTCTGACCCTCAGTGACCCCCTGCATGACAGAACAAATCAGCTCAAGCCGCGAAGCTGAGTTGATTCTGACCCGGGGCCACTTCGTCTAGGTTCCAAGAGCGGCAGGTCACTACAGGAAAAGACGGTCTCTTCTTACCCCCACGGGGCAGCTGGTGGATGTGAATCACTGACCTTTCCATTAACAACCCATGCCATAAAGCATGCTACAGCAGGGCCATACTGGCTGTCGTAATGAGTGCTGGGGTGTTTAATCCGTCTGTGTGTCCATCTCAGTGAGGGTGGTCTTCTTTCACTGCCCCTCCAAAAAGGACGTCTTTTTTTTACAGAAATCCAAAGTGTAGCGAGTGTTGACAGCTTGTGAAATTTCTGTATTTCTCTTAAAACCTTGGCAGGTCCTGTCTTGTCCCCTGTAGGACCAAAGGGGTCACGTTCTGTTTTCTGTCTTGACAGTGGGGTAGGACCTTGGGGAATGATTGGAAATGTGTGAACAGGAGTGTGGACAATCTTGAGACAGGTCCCAGCAGTCGGAAGAATGAGCTGATTGTTACTGGAAACTAGGGCCCCAGAGGTGAACGAAGAATGTGGTTCCACAGCCTGTGGACGGGGGGACAGTGGCAGTTAGGCCAGCCCAGGAGGGACCCTGGTGTGCTGGGGAGAGGTCCACAGACCCACAGCTGTGAGAGCAGCTTCTAGGTGCTCCCCTGTCCATGCAGACCCCGTGTCCTGGTCACTGGGCCTGGGAATGCAGGTGGATGTGGGTCCTGGCTTTATGATCGCTGCCTCCAGTCTCAGCAGTGTCTCAGGTGTTGGGCTTTCATCCTCAGAGGAGGACGCGAGCTCTTTTCCCGAAGTCACACTCATTCAGATCCACCAGCTTCCTCCTGGGGAAGGACGGCCAGCGCTCTGCCGTAAAGATTCACAGCTGCGAAAGCCCGGCCGAGGGTCAGCTATGAGTCAGAACCGACCCCAAGCCAGTGGGTCTGACGTGTGTGCCGCAGGGCCTCTGCTGGAGCAGTGGCGAAGGGAACTGGGCTGGTAATCAACAAAAGGGAAGTTTGAACGAGCCGTTTCTTAGAGGCAAGGATGGTGGAATGTTGTGTCACCCTGTGGGCATGTTGTCCTTGGAGAAGGGAAGCAGGAAGTCAGCGAGGAGAGGAAGGCTCTCAACCAACAAGAAGCACTGGCCGTGACTCACACAGCTTGGTGAAGAGGGGTGCTGAGGCAGCCCAGGATGGGCAGTCTGACCCGCTGTGCACAGGCCACCAGGAGTCAGTGTCCACTCTACAGACAAGCAGCAGCCATCCGATAGAGGCCAGGCAGTTGTCCTCCGGACAGAGCTCGGCCCTGGGTGCTCTGTGAGGAGGCACTGTCTGTCCTGCAGGGTCGCTGTGAGCTCCAGGAAATTCAATGGCAGAAGGTTTGCTTTTTGGCTTAGAGTCGAGTTGCTTTTAAATACTCCTGAATTTTCATAATAGGACCATTCCCGAATTGTCTAGACTGAGTGAGCTGAAGCTTCATCGGGCCTGATGTGAGCACGATGTCCCGCTTCCTGCTGCCTCCCCAGGTGAGGCGGAGCTTGGGCTCTGGTGTGTCTGGATCTGAGCAGAGTCCAGCGTACAACCCTGCCCACGTGAGGCTCTGGACAGTCAGGCAGGGTGCATTGCCAGCAGCTCCCACAGAGAAGTGTCTGGACAGAGAGCAGAGGAGTCAGTCTTGTTTCCCGTAGGCCTGTCTGAGTGGAGGCCCCTCCTGGGATAGGACTTCTCTGATGCTGAATTATTCGATAAAGTTTTAGGGAGACGAGTGCCCATTGCCTTGGTTTGCGCTGGCCATGGACTTCCCCAGACGGACGGATCCCTGCCGCCTCAAGTCCACTCACCACTGGGCCCTGCTGTCCCCGACTGTCCGGCCCAGTGCCAAGGCCTTGATGACGCCAAGGCCAGCAGCGGTGGCATCTTGGTTTGCAGCCTGGAGTCACTGCTTTCTCCAGGGACAGGAGCCCCCTGCAACCCCGTGACTACTGCACGGCCCCTCACCCTCTCAGAAGTCTCATCCGTTCCCCAAAGCCTGCCACAGGGCCCCACACTTTCATTAAGGCCGCGAAAGAATTGGACAAAGCCTTGCCCAGAATGTGTTGCCGTCTGCCAGGTTCTGCCACAGCTGATTGCATTTCCCTGAAACACCCAACCCATTCGCTCATCCTGGGGCGGGTGACCCTTAGGGCCAAGCTGGCCAGTTCACCCTGTGAGGAGGGTCCAGCAGCGGGCTAAGCCTGCTTCTCATTTAGAAAGACAGTTAAGATACTACATAATTAGCATAATAACTACTTTTATCTTAATGACTAAAATAACAATGTTTATTATTGAAATAAAGTAATTATAGCATCATTTTTATAAAATTATATCTTTATTAGTACTACAACTATTCTTTTTAATAATAAAATTGCAAAAATAACTTGATAAAATCAGTTATTTCTTTATAAGTAATAAAAAGTATTTTCTATCTTTTAATAAGATCATAATTATATTTTATCTACTAACTATAGCTTAAATTTTACATAAATTTAATATTTCTTATAAAATTAATTTGTGATATAAAATTATTATTTTCTTGTTAAAAATAATAAAGTAACTATTTTATTACTTATCTCACATTTAAGAGAAACTTTCTTTTACCAATAATACACATGTAAGTTTCCAACAAAACCAAGGCAAAAATAAATTCATGTGTCATATATATAGGCAACATCCTGATAGAAAAAAGATTGAAATCATCAAGGATTTCATTTTACTAACATCTAGAATCAACACACACGGTAGCAACAGTCACAAAATCAAAAGAAGTGTAGTATTGGAAAATCTACTGTCAAGGACGCCTCCAAAATGCTAGAAAGCAATGTCAGTGTAAAGACTGAGGCACACGTGATCTAATACATGGTACTTTCGGTTTTTCCTGTGCATCTGAAAAGTTGGACAATGAATAGGGAAGAATGAACACGTAGAAAAACTGATGCTTCAGAATTGTGATGTTGGTGGCAGACCAGGCCTGTCTTGGAGGAACTGTCACCAGGGTGCTTCTTAGAGGCAAGGGTGGTAACATGTCATCTCACAGACGTGGGCATATTGTCAAGAGGGGCCAGTTTTTGGAAAAAGACATTGTGTGGGGAAGATGGAGGGTCAGCAAGAGAGAAGAAGACACTCAATGAGCGGGACTCACTGGGAGTCACAGTGGAACTGATGACTGGTCCCCAGAAACAGCCTTACTTGAGTGGAATCAATTTCAGTTGTCCATGATCCACATGTAAATAGTTCTAACCCAGGAAAGCCTGTTCCTTTGCCACCAGACACAAGTGACATACACATCTGCCCAGTGTAAGCTCGTCTCAGCAGACCTGGGGGCTGGGAGGGACAGCTGACGGCTCCAGTGTCCCCATGTGGTAGGTCCAACAGTTACACTTGTTTATAAAAACAGCACTTTTGCTGTCCTAACTGACGGAGAAGAGCATTGCTATTTGAAGTTTACACCCACCACTTAGATAAGAATGCGAAAGATGTAAATATAAGGGTCTCCGCTTTGGGGAAATCTGTTGTCAGGGCTCTTTCCAAGGTCCTGAAGAGCAATGATGTCGATTTAAAGACTAAGGTGTGTCGTCTAATTTAAGCCATAGTCTTTCCAGTCACCTGCTATGCACCTGAGAACTAACTGGACAATGAATAAGGTGACAGGAGAAAAATTAATGCATTTGAGTTGTCACGTTGGAGAAGAGTGCCAAATATCCCATGACCTACCCAAAGAACAAACAGATATTTCTTGGAGAAGTTGTACCCAGCGTGCTCCTTAAAGGTGAGGATGGCCAAACTTCATCTCACATACTTTGGATGTGTTGTTAGAAGGCTGTTCTTTGGAAAAATTGAGGGTCACCAAAGGAGAAGACCCTCAGTGAGATTTGATATAGTGACTGTGGCATTGAGCTTAAATGTATCAGAGATAAAGATGGCACAGGATAGGACAGGTTCATAGGGTTGCTATGAGCCATACTTGACGGTACTTAACATCAGAAGACAGCAGACATAGGGAACCCCGCTCTATACAGCCAGGCACCTTCATACAGTCCATAGCAGGGACCATGCCTTGTTTACAGGTGAGGAAAACAGGTCTTCCGTGTCCCCTGCAGCTAAGGAAGTTCTGGTGCTGAGATTCAATCTCAATCAGATGGATAAGGCGTGCCTCGGCCTGACGCTCAGCTACACAGAAGTGGGGCGGAAAGCCGAGCCTGGGGCCAGAGCATCAGCCAGGGATCTGAGTGAGCTGGCAGCCTTCACAGAGTGCCGGCGGGCCAGAGACTCGTGTTGAGGTGGCCCCAGAGCCCAGCAAGACTGTAAAAGCAAATCCCCTCCTTCGCATTGTGATATTAGTCCTGGTGACACAGGCATGTCCATAGCCAAAAAGGTTAATGGTTCAGGTCCACCCAGTGGCGCCTCAGAAATAAAGACCTGGCAATCTGCTCGTGAAAAGTCGCAGCCTGGAATGTCATGGGAGAGTTTGACGGAACGCTAGCTCACTCGGGGGGACCTGACAACCACCGGACAGCTGTCCCTCCATATCCTTGGGGGACCTCCACTTTTGCCACAACCCTGGATGCTCGAGACCTTGTGTAAAATGGCTCAATTTTGCCTATAACCCACACATTTTGAATTCTCTCTGGACTAGGCACGATACCGAACCAATGCAAACGTCCATGGTGGTGCTGTGTGTACCCCGCAGTCCTCCAAGGATCGCTCTGATCATCTGATTACTGTCCTGCCCCAAGCACATTCCCTCGGCACTTGATTCCACAGATGCTGAGGCTCGGCTGTACTCAGGGTCAAAAGAGACAGTTTTGCTCACGGAATTGTACAGGGGCGTGTACAGTTGTGTGCACACGTGTGTGCACTTGTGTAGAGAGAAGAATGAGTGGCGATAGTGGTTGGAGGGTGTGGTCTCAGGGACCCGGGCTGCAGCTCGGGGAGAGTCTGTGTCCTTGTGTACGCGTGTCTGTACGTGCACGTTTGTGTGTGCGCATGCGCGCGTTTTCAAGTGGACGAGTGAGATAAGCTAGTAATCCAAGGTCACAGTTTCAGGGATACGTTTTGCTAATTTGGGAATGTACATGTGTGTGCACATGTGTGTCTATATGTACATGTGTTTGCATGTTCACATAGTGAGACAGGTTGGTGGCTCCGGCAAGCACAAGTGTGCCGTCTATGTGTGTGCATGTTCCTAGACTGAGACAAACGAGCGTTGCTTCGGGAACATGTTTTCACGGAGGAGATGTACATGTGTGTACTGTGTACATGTGTCTTCACATAGCAAGAAGAGACCAAGGGTGTCGTTTTAGGGTGTGCTTTGCAGACTGGGGAGCGCGCACAGGAGCACCCCGCATGCCCGTCGTCCGTCGGAGTCTGGCTGCTGTCAGACGGGCTCAGCAGCCTGAAGCTGACCGATCCTGAGGGGCTGGCATTTCACCTGACTGAGAAGAGGTGGGTCCACTCCAGCCGATCTAGGGCGGCCGGCTGCGGCGGTAGTTTGGTATAAAGCTCGAGAGCTGTGATTTGTGCTTCCATCTGTTGGGGACCCACCTCTCTCCATGACCTCAAGTACATACCTGTGTGCACTGAGGAAGCCATGCAGCCAGGGTCCCCTGGCGCCCAGCAGACAAGAAGCTGGCACCAGGGTTTGCGAGCCGCCAAGGAGGACTGTTAGTGCATCCACGGGGAGACCAGGCGCCCCCAAGGAAAGCCTAAGGGGAGGGCCGAGGAAGGAATCCAGAGCATTTGTCATCAGATTGTGTCTCCTTTTCAAAAGTGCAGTATTTTCAGAGATAATGCCCAGACAGTGGGGAGGTCTAGGAAGGAAGGAAGGATGGATGGATGGAAAGGAGAAGCACAGGGAGGAAGTGGGTAAAGTGCCTTTTCAGGGTAGGAATAGCTGTCAGGACCATGAATCTATGTCAACGAATTTTTTTAATGGAAAACCCAAATAGCAATAAAAAGAAAAAAAAAAACTAAGAAGGTACGTTATGTCAGGTGTGTTACGGAGGCCAGCAGAGTCTAGAGATGGACACAGCAATGACCTGGCCACTAGACCCCCCAGGCCAACTCAGAACAGCCCACAGCACGATAAGAAATCATCTGAAGATCACACTAGCCGACGTTACGGGCTGCTCAAAAGCAATCTGAATCCTTTTATAGTGGGCGTGTTAGGAAAAGTGTGTGTCGGGGTTACAGTGGGAGTGTTAGGGTGTGTGGGTATCTTAGTGGATGTGTTAGGGAGGGTTTGTGTGGCTGTTATAGTGGACATGTTAGGGAGAGCGTGAGTGGGTGTTCTAGTGGACGTGTTAGGGAAGGTGTGTGGATACTATGGTGGATGTGTTAGGCCTGATACTTGACATGGACTGCTGAGTGCGTGTTTCACTCTTACCTGACTGTGGTGAAACCCACTGAAGCACACAGTGTGTTGGCGTAGTGCGCGCCATGTCTTTGGCTTTTTCTCTATTTCAGTCAGTACTCTGGTGGCCCCCTGTGGCTGGAATTGGCCTGGTGTCTGTGTGTCTGTAAATCAGAGCACGGCAGCCCCTTCCTCCCGTGGGCAGGAATCACACGGTTTACTTGCAGGCAAGTGTCTGTGGTCTTTGACCTCTATTTATCAGGATGAAAGGAAACTTTGGAAGTAAAGATGAAGAACACAGAAGGACAGACACTGTATAAGATCACGGTTATAAAAAGCTAGAGAAAGGTCTTTATACACAGAGTGTCATTGCAATGTGGTCACCAGGGAGGCAAAGTCCAGGGGGAGGAGGAGCAAGTTCATTACGGAGTAGTGAACACTCTGTAAGGTGGGCAAAGTGGAAGACAGTGTGGAATGAATGCACGATCAGACAGCGTGTGTGTTACGGTTGATAATATGGACACCGAGGTGCGTGACTGGTTGAGAACCAGTTTTGATCACGGCTGATGCTAGAAGGATGTGGACATTTCAGCGTTAGCGTGAGAAGAGCTTCCGGTAGCTCCACTCGTGCTTCCCCAGGTTATCCGAAACAGGACAGAGTGATGACTTAGTAAGTCTCTCCGCAGAGTTCTGAAGGACTTTCTGGTTCATCTTTATAAAGTATACTCTGCTCTCTCTCTCCATTTGACCCTTCTATCTACATTTCCAGGTACTTCCAGGACCTGCCTTTCTGGTGTTTCTTTAATTGGATTTTATAATTCTTCCTCTCTTTTTCTTTTGCTTTTCTTTATAGATCTATCAGGTTCAAAAGGTAGGCTGCTCCTTGTTTATGCGCTGATTTGCATGCACTGTCTCCTTGCCAAGGGCCCGGTCGCCTCTCCGACGTGATGCTTTGCACTGGGATGCACAGGGGGTGTTGCTGCTTGAACTGTGAATGTGTTTGAACATGCACACTTGAGAGACTCACACATCCATGAAGAGCAACACGGTTCTGTGTGCCTGCTAATTTTTTGCCTATTTTCATTTAAAAAAAAAAACAACCCAAACACTAGAAAAAGTATTTCCTTGAAAGACAGAAAGGAGAGGGAAAACTCAATACATTATTTCATTGAGAGCAAGGAGAAAATAATACTGAGACAAAACTCACTTCTCAGAATTTGGTCATTCTTTGCAATTCAGTAGGAGTCTTGATGGCAGAACAGGTAAAGAGCTTGGCCAATAACCTAAAGGTCAAAGGCTCAAATCCACCAGCTCCTCCGAGGGACACAGATGCGACAATCTGCTCCCGTAGAGATCACAGCCTGGGCAGCCCTGCTGGAATGTTCTCTGCCCTGCAGGGTCCCCATGGTCAGAATCCACTCAGAGGCTGTGGGGCTGTTTTCCCACCCCCCTCCGCATAGCCACACTCTGACGAGCACTGAGAAACCAGCTAAGGGCACCAGGATCGGCTTGTGCTGTGTGGTTTTCTAACGTCCACGTGCTGGAATGCACTCTGAAAAGAGAGTTCCGGAAGAGCCGGCCCTGGGAAAGCGAGGCTGGCCGCCCTGACTGGAACCAGCCAAGCGGGGCTCAGTGGCCTAATGGCCATAGAAGGAACACTCTGGAAATTTCCACCTGGATTATTTCTCTGTGTGAACTCACCAGTGACACATTCTTAGAGCTTTGTCAGAATGTTGGCTTGCACACAGAATCAAGCAGGGGAAGCTGCGAGCCCTCTGGGGCAAGGCAAGTGCACCTTTTTGTGAAGAAGGTGCATCCAGGTGAGGACAGGTGTTCCTGTGCACCTTGGAGGAGGAAACACGGGCAGGCGTCACTCCCCTGGCCCTGTTGGGCTGTGCCCGGTGGTTTCTCTTCTGCGGGATGGAAGCTTTTTCTCACAGGCACCTTCCACACTGGCCTGGCTCTTGCTCCTCTGCATGGCTCACCTGCTAACCTCAGGGGTCCCCTCGGAGACCTTTGCACCTTTCTGGAGTTTGCTGTGCCGGTGCTGCTATTTAACACTGGCTGGATTGCGCATTAACCGCACTTGCTGTACCTGGAGGCATTCTCCCCCAGAAATGACAGGGAGACGTAACTAGAGTCCCACCTGTTAGAAAGGTCACACGCTGACAGGAAGGAAGGTCTGAAACAGTGGCTGTTACGTTTATCATGAAAGGAGCAGATAGTGTGTGATATTTGGTACAAATATAAAATGTGACCCAAAATAAAAGTAGGGTAACTGATCATACAGACTTCTGTGGGGATGTAAGTCTCTTTACTGGGAATTTATATAGGCCTCAAATGGTCAGGAGTTCAAACCCATCAGGGGCTCCTCCAAAAAAAGATGGAGAGTGTTGCCCCCATCCGTTAATATTTACAGCCTCAGGGACCAGGTGAGTGTTGTCATTGATCACAGTCAACTTGCCGATGAATTCCATTTTTGGATAGGTTGGTTATTTTGGGTTGAGTTTTTTTTATATTTAATTTTTTTTTTTCTTCAGTCCCTGCCACTGAGTCCTCAACTTTGAGGAGGAGTTAGGGACATCATATTTTACAGGTGGAAAAACTCAAATGTGACCTTGAGGGCAGGGCTCATATGAATTGAATGCAGGACAGCTTTAACCTTTCACCTTCTGCGGAGGTGGAAGCTGGAAAATTCATTTGAGCAGTGTTTGCTTTAAGGAAAACAATTTCCAGGAAAAGATGAGACTCATACGTTTTCTATTAGAGTCGGCCGTAGTTGAATTTTGAAAGCTTGGTTAAACTGCCCTTCCTATTTCTTTCTATCTCCCAGCATTTTACTTAATCACCTTTCTCAAAAGACAGGTGTGAGACCTTATTAAGGCAGTATGTTTTGAATGTGGCCATCCTTGAAAAGAAAGAAACAGGACAAATGTAACCAGACACAGTGCATTTGGGCTATTGGCATACAATTTCAAAAGTTAGATACTTCTAGCATTCCGTGTTTGCTCTTCTGAGTACCAGATTTTAGTGGTATATACCTGTGTCTGGTGCACAAGGTGGAGAGGGAGGTCTGCCCAGTTTTTCCTTGCAGACCCTCAGACGAATTCAGCCATGACTAGTGCAGTGAAACTGGAACAGATGGACATTCTAAAATCTGAATGAAAAGAATGATAACCAGTTTGGGAGGACTTGCTGGTCAAATACCTGACTTGAGAGACCTGGAAGCGGTGTGGTGAATCTTCTCAAGAACCAGATGTGGGAGACTGGGTTATCGCCAGGACCATGGAGAAAGACCCTCTTGACATGGGTACCATTCCTTCCAATCTGGTGAAGAGATCTGGTTGTTACACAGTGTGTGTACTGCCCTTGTTTTCTGGATGACGTTTCTAGCAGGACGCCTCCTTTTAATTTCTCCTATTCCAGTTAACGTTCTGCCTGACCACGTTTTATAAATTCAGGTCCATTCCACTTTCACTTCCTCCACCGTGACTGAATTTGGAAGAACCAGTTTATAGAACTACATCCTTGTTTTCCTTACTGAAAATTGAGGGGGAAATAAGGAAAAAAACAGAACCATGTTATTTGATTTTATAACTAGGTTCTCAACTAATTTAAAAATTACCTTATATAGTAACATTCTAAGTCTCCTTAATTTGTCACATGAACCATCCTAGTGTAGAGTAGCAAGGAAAAACCACAGAGTTATCCCGTCAAGTCAGCTCTGCACTTAGCCTGCAGCTCTGCAAACTCGCTCCTCCACACTGGGTCATCTTCTGTAGGCTTCCGGGTCATTTTTCCATCAGCATCTAAAGAGACTCCTGGTACCTTCTCGTGCACCAGGTGCCATAGAGATCTCAGCGGAAGTTACAATCATGTAGCCTCGAGACCATTGAACACACTCTCCTGCTTTAATCTAGGGTTTTCAACGCATTTTTAGCAACTTGGGAATGGCTTTCGGCTTTGCTTTTCACAAGCAGCTTGTTATTGCTCTCGTGTGTTTTGAGAATGTGAGATGCTTCACAGAGGGCGAGTGTAGACTCCTGGTGCCGCTTCCTCCTGCCATCCCAGGGATGCTTTTTCTCCTGCTGTGTTAGGTTTGCAGGGAACCGGGAGAAGGGAAGGATTTCTTTCCGTGCAGGCTCCCAAGCCCCCAGGACTGCTTCCTTCCTCTACGGAGCCTTGAACACGTTAACACTGCTTTGTCTTGGCTTGTCCCCGCGCTGAGGGGCTCAGGCACAATCTGGGAGTGCATGTCAGAACAGTTTCTTACGTGGTTACCATTTCTTTTCTTGACTAATCTTCTCTCCCTTCTGTCTTTAGAAATATTATGGGCTGGATACAAAATGGGGCGACATCGAGCAGTGGATGGTAGGCCTTGAATAATATTTGAGACATTTAAATGGTTTATAATTTCATTCTCATTCCCTTTAATTATACAAATCCTTGTCTCTTGTCCAATCATTTAATACGGAGGGGTCTCCTGCCGGGGACTCCTGCATGCTGCTTGTTTCCCGTCCTGTGTGGAGCCTGGAGGCAGCCCTGGGCCAGCCGGAAGGTGGGCAGTTTGAACCTATCCAGCGGCCCCACAGAACAAAGGCCTGGGAATCTCCTTCCCTGAGGAAAGCCTAGTGCAGCAGTTCTGCGGCGTGACTTAGGGGGCGCTATGAGCCACAGCTGACCCCTGGCTACCATGGCCACCGCGGTTTCCGCAGGCTGAAGACTCTTCTACCACTTACACTTAAGTTGAATTCATGCCCCCCGGTGAAGGAACTTTACATACAGAGATGCAGTCACATCTCTCACCAAGTTCTAGTCAGAAGCCAGAGGTGACTTTATGTTCTATTTCCTGCCCCCACCTTCCAGCCTTGCTGCACCCTGTCTTCCTCATCCCGTCCACTATGTCCCTGAAGCCTGTCTTTACAGGGGAAATACCTGTCCCTCCACAGGCTGTCCGCTGGAATAGCCCACCTGTCCATCTTTGAGGTGAACCACCTCTCATGATAAGAAAACATTACTGTTGAGTTGTAGGGGAAGATCTGGCATTGTGCCCCATAAAGATGGCAGCCCGAGAAACCCCCTCCTGGGGCAGCTGTCCCCTGTCACACACAGGATTCCGTGGTCAGATTCCACTCTGGGGCATCCAGTAGCAGTAAACACGCACAGCTTAATTTAAAGGGAATGTACGATTATTTCCTGAAGTCTTAGACATCTGTGTGTAATATCTAATAGTTCTAGAAATAAGAGCATAAGCTTCCTAGCTTGAAAAAAAAAGATTCCATTCAATCTTCACTGTTTGTAAGCCACCATTGTAGGCGTATAAAGCCCAGGGAGTTACATTTCATCAAATCCTAACATGCAGTTAAATGGTGCATCATTGTTTTATATCCACTGAGAGAGAAAAGTGGTAAAAGCTCATTAAGAGGGAGCTCTGGTGGCCTAGTGGTTAAGAAGCTACGCTGTAGTCCCCAAGGCGCGCAGTTTGAATCTACCTGGTGCTTCATGGGAGAAGGATGGGCAGTCTCCTCCCGTGCCATTAACCGCCCCTGCAAACCCACCAGAGGGTCAGCTATGGATCAATTCCACCTTGACAGAATACAACAACAACAACAAGAGAGAAAAGGGAACCTTAGTGGTGCAGTGGTTAAGTATTTGCCTGCTGACCAAAAGGTCAGCAGTTCAAACCCACTACCCACTCCACCAGACGTGTGCGTGTGTGAAGGCTTGTGGCATTAGAAACCTGACGGGCAGCTCAGCTCTGTCCCACATAGCCGCTTTGAGTTGACACTGACTGGCCAGCAGTGAGTTTAAGAAAACTAAATGCCACTGATTGGAATTTTACGAAGATTAGATTATAAGTTAGGCCCCAATTTCAGAGATGTCCAGTCAGGGGGCACGGGAGGGAAAGTGACAGAATCCATCAACTATAAGGGTGACCTCCTGACTGGCTCTGTCATGGCATTGATGACGCTGACTTTTCAGTGGCTGAGAAGAGAGGAGGACTCGGAATGTCATTTTAAAGAGTGAGGTTAGGTTCTGAGGCAAAACCAAGCTCAGCCTCCCTTCCCTCCTCTACACCTCCGACAGACCTTTGTTTTTAAGACAGAATAAAACGTGCCAGTTGTTGGCCTGTGGAGGTCCTCTCTGTTCACTGCCCAGCTGTGTCCTTGCACAACAGTAAAAGAAACACCATGGACTCGGTGTGGCCCTTGGCTGCCCGCTCGGGCCTCCGGGGCCTCTCTCAACCCTGGTTGGACTCGGTGTGGCGCTTAGCTGCCCGCTCGGGCCTCCGGGGCTGCGCTCGGGGCACCCCTCCATCCTCTAACCCTACACACTGTCTCTGTTGCCTTGGTAGGAAGACAGTGAACGCTACTCCCGCCGAGCCCGGAGAAACACCTCGGTTAGTACTTCCTCTTCTCTGCCTCTGCCTGGTGGCTGTGGTCTGATTGTACCTGTAGTGGCTGAAATGTGTGTGTTCTGACACTTTTCAAAGAAATTGGCTACTGCAGCCTGTGAGAGCTGGAGTTCACCTCCTCTCCCAGGCTGTTCGCCTCTGGCGGGTTGGAGCCCTTCCCGTCACCTTCTCCTGGTGGGAGATACCAGAGATTCCCTTCTCTGCCGGGTTCCAGCTCTCACAGATCCCCGTCACGGTGACATTACCACCTAAGCAAAGCCTCTGGGTGCAGCTTTCCGCACCATGGCCACGGGGGTCAAAGCACAGCATTCGAGCCCCCCAGCCGCTCCGTGGGAGCCCGAGGAGGCAGTCTGCACAGTAAAGGTGACAGCTGGGGACCCTGTGCGGCAGTTCTGCACCCCGGCGGGGTCCACTGGGTTGCAGTCAGGAGTCAGGAAGCAGTAGCTTTTCTAGACTGATGACAAGGGGAGAGTGGTGAGAAGTTCTGTATTATGCAGTCACAGCACTGGCAGGGTTTGGGTTTTGGTGGCGAATGAAAATGCTTAACTTATATAATAATGTTCATAGAGGTGCAGGATTGGTAAATAACCAGGGAGGTAAATGGTGCTGGTGTGATGAGATGACCGGATGTCAACAGAACCTAGAACCAGCCCTGGGTAATCAGGGAGTACTTCCCTCATGTGCCCCGGGGGGCTACGATGCTCCCCACTGAGGGGTCGACCAGCTGCGCCCTGGCACCAGCATCCCTGTGTCTGTGGCCAGTGGTCAGCTCATGGCTGTTCTTACCTTCTCTTCTCAGGCCTCCGACGAAGATGAGCGCATGTCAGTGGGCAGCCGTGGCAGCCTGAGGGTCAGTACTGGATGCTGGGTGTGCGCAGAACGCTGCATGGCAGCAATGCTTTGCCTTGTCGCCCCTGTGTCCACACTTCCTGTCCCTCACCCTGCGGTCTGCACTGACCAGACACTTGCTTAACTGCGCACGCTGTCCTGCTTCTCTCTTCCTGCCTGGGTCCAGCTAAGAACCTGAAGACACAGCCGCTAAGTCTCTCCCAGAGTGGAGATGATCACTTTCATTTGTTTTTCATGTATGTGCACACATCACAAAGCCACCAGCCTGGGCTCATGTCCAGCTTTGCTGGTGTGACGGGCAGGAAGGTGAGTCACCTGCTGTCCAGGCTCCTGGGAAGAGTGAGGAGGGACCGGAGGCCCTGCCCACCCACCTGCGGAGTGATGCTGTCAGGGCTGGTTTGCTGTGCTCTCCTCTTGGGCTCTCGGCTGCGGTGGGTGGTGGTGGGGATGTGGGTGGTGGTGGGGATGCATGGGCAGCCGCTCGTTTCATTACCGCGAGGAAATGCAGGCAGATCTCAGAGACACTGCCAGGAGTTCCGGACCACCACAGTGGAGCGAAAGCCACAGACCACAGGGAACTGCATCATTTCCCGATGCACAGGAAAGTTCTGTCTGCACTGTATTGTAGTCTGTCAAGTGTGCATGTTGGGAAAAACTCTGGGATATTGTAAGAATGACCCAAATGGGACACAGAGATGTGGATTAAGCCTCAGCTATTGGCAAAGAGCACCAGTAGCCTCAGTCAGTGTGGGGCTGCTACAAACCTTCAGTTGTGGGGAGGAAAAACCCAAAACAAGGCCAAAATAACAATGCAGAAGTTTTGAAGCACAGAGTAGCAAAATGCAGTAGCACGAGGTCTGTCTGTATATTCCTTTGCTAATAGCCTGAATTTTCTAAATAGGCAGACATATACATATTTTTTTCTCACACGTCCCCTAAATCTCCATAGCTAAACTTGGGACATGTGTGCACTGCGGGGCTGGAAGGGCGATCAAACTGTGCCTGTCTTCACACTTTAGACGGCAAAGCTGACGGCAGTGTGGCAGTTTACTGACCCTGAGGTGAAATGACATCTCCCCCCAATCATAACTGGCTTCCTAATGCAAATGCTCTGTTTTGCTTCAGGCCTAGACAGAGCTGAAGGGCGGTGGCTGCTTTTAATCACTGTGGCAATTAAATCTCATCATGTCACACCAGACCTCCTTGATGAGCAGTTTGTTATGCATTGCTCTGGCCTTTCCAGCGGTAAACAAATGTGGAGATGATGCACGGCGGCCACGGCCTGGTCCCCTGCTCGCCGCTCCTGCAGAGCTGGATGCCAGGCCACAGTGCTTTTGTCTGAACGCTGTGCTGCTGGTTAAGTGGGAGGCATTGCGAGAGTTCACTCTGTGTCTGGAACTTTCTCCTGAGTGTGGGTCTAGTAGAACTGCCTTAACACCCCCTACCCCCAAACAGCCAGGTGCAACTCTGTAGTGAATAAGTTTAAATCAGAATAAATCTTGGATTTCAGATCCCACAGGCACATCTCCAGACATCACAACCAATGGGTGGGCGCAGGAGACTCTCCTAGCCTGAGACCCAGATAATCAGGTGTTGGTTCAGGGAAGTGGGAGCAGGTGATGGAGAAGGGAGAGGACTGAGGATGGCCCATTGGAGGATGCAGGTAGCCTTGACAAGGGAGTTTTTGCTAGAAATGGTAAGACCACATCTGGTTGCAGTGGGTCCTAGACAGACCAGGAGAGGAATCAGAAACAGAATCCACACTCTCCGTCTCAGTGCCTCAGCCCTGAGGTCTCTGGAAGTGCCCTTGGGGTGTTGTGCGTGCTTAGGGTTTCTGGGATAAGCCTTTCACCTTCGTAAAATTCCCATCCCTAAGCGTTTAAAAACATCCCCTTCTCAGCATTCCGGGGTAAGCATTGCATTTTCGGTGACTTTAAGCAGAAATAGGGTCAATTTCTTTGCTGGAGACCATTCTCTGCTGAGATACCAGACATTCTTCCTTTAAGGTGTAAAACTGAGAGCAGGAAGGCACAAGTGGAGTAAATCAAAAGTGGATGGGATTTCATCCCCAGCTAAACTTGGCGTGACATACTCAATCTAAAGAAATGGTGTTGTTCTGTGCTGTTGAGTAACCTCCAACTCACGACAGCCAGTGTGCAACACAGCAAACTCTGCCCACCAGCGTGTCACCTCACATCTCAGTGGGCTCAGAACCCGTGCCAACTCACATCTCTGTGGGCTCAGAACCTGTGTCACCTCACATCTTTGCGGGGCTCGAAGGAACTCTGGAAGCCACGTGTCAGTCCACTTCTGTGAGGGTCAGTCCATGTCACTGAGGGGCAATCCACTGAGGGACAGTCCACCGCCTCACTGAGGGACAGCCCACCTCACTGAGGGACAGCCCACCACCTCACTGAGGGACAGCCCACCTCACTGAGGGTCAGTCCATCGCCTCACTGAGGGACAGCCCACCTCACTGAGTGTCAGTCCACCACCTCACTGAGGGACAGC